ATGTAAAAATAATTTATAATTTAATATTTTGAGAGGGTATGGATAAAAAAAATAAAACAGAGTTTAGAGTTGACTAAAGGAAAATGAGATTCAAACCAATTTGTTTTCCAGTCAAATAAAAAGCACTCCAAGTCGGAGAACTTTTTCATCACAGCTATACCATTTCTCGCCTTCTGACAGTCCGAAATCAATGGCGACGGAGACGGCAGTGTTCGCGGCGGTCGTCGCTTTTCTGATCTCGGCGGTGGTGTCTCAAACTCCTCCTATGGCTTACACTAATCACACGGTCGGCGGCCCTGCAGGTTGGTTCTTCAACGCCACCAAAAACATTTCCGCTACTAATTACTCCTCCTGGGCCGCGTCTCAGACTTTCAATCTCGGAGACTTCCTCAGTAAGCTCAATGTCTTCTCCTCCTTTCGATTCTGCTCGTTATTGATTGTTTATTTCTCTCTGAAACCTCCGCTTCGTTGTTGTTTGTTTCTTGAGAAATTGCAGAGAGAAGTTAGGATTTATAGATAGCTATCAGAAGAAATTTGCGTAAATGTTGAGTTATGATCGGCATCTCGATTCATAAATTTCTTAGGAATCGAACATTGTTATTTCACGATCCAGGAAATTGACAATGAGTCTTTGGTTGATTTGATCATCTAACCAATGGAATTTCTGCTAACTTCTTTTTATTGTTTGAGATTTGCGCTCGAAATCTAGGTTTCTATTGTGCAATCTGAAATCGAAAATCCGATTACAGTAGTTGTTCTATCTCATCAATCAATTAACTCACAGAAGTTCATCGCCATTTTTTAATTTGTTAATTTCAGTTTTCAGAACGAATACAAATCAGACCGTGATCCAGACCTCCAACTTGACGACATTCAAGAGCTGCTCCATCGACGACGCCTCGGACAACGACACGTTCCAGTACAACGGCGGTGATTCCGACTTCAACAAGCCATTGACCATTCCGGTGGCGCTGATCATCAGCGGCTCGAACTACTACTTCTCCGACGCGGATGATGGAGTTCAGTGCCAACGAGGTATGGCCTTCGAGATCCAGGTCAATACCGGTCTTGGCTTGCCGCCAAGCCTGAATCAGCCGCCTCCGCCTCCGTACGCGACGCCGCCGGATTCCGATTTGGCTCAAACGCCTCCGTTAATGATTCCTGAGACGAAGGAAAACAGCGGATTCAAAACTGCCGCTAACTTGCGCCGATATTTCTTCTTCATCGCGGTGGTGCCGCCGCTGCTGCTGCTGCTCTGAGACTAACGAGGTCAGACTTAGAGATCACGCGTTTCCCTCTTTGTCCTTTATGTGGTAGTTTTGTAATTTTATTGCCGTGATTGATTTTTGACTCATTAGAGGCCTTTTGAATTTATTTTAATAAATGAAGAACTCCTCTAATCTCCAATAGCTACACTTTCCCTATTATTATTTTTGCTATAAGAGCCAATAGATTATCATGGGTTTGACTTAGTAGCCATTAGAATCTGAATTTTTAAGTCTATTTCTGTGACCAAATATTGTAAGATCGAAAAGAAACCGTTTGTTTAGTTTTATGATGATTTCATGATTAAAAAGAATTCTCCCCTTCACTTTTATAATTATGATTGATAATGTTAGTCGGGCTTCAACTGAACATACCATTCAATATAGGATACCTCCCAGTAGTAAATGGGATCAAAAAAGATAATTTAAAAGTATCAAATAGTCCTACATCATTAACATAAAATGAGAATAGCTACCTCTTAGTTCTAGTACTACGATGTCAAGGGTTGTTTTTTTAGGTACTTTTAAGGAAATTTCATGCTAATAACGTTCTTTTACCAGTTTATGGGTCAAATATTATAGAAAATAGATTCTAGGCATGGTGCTCATTATTTAAGATTTGATATATAACTACCAAAGGTAGGAGTGCAAAGAACAATTTGAGCATAGTTTAACTAGTAATCCACAGTATTGATCTACTCTAAAAAAATAGTAAGATCAATGATCATGTCTTAAAAAGTAATCGAAGTGTACGAAAGCTCACCTGAACACTAACTCAACATTTAGGCCGGTTCGAGAATCTAAATTTGAAAACTAACTTTTTAAAATCTTCAGAGGATATGTGAAGAAGTTCTTGAGAACTTTGGATCTCAGGTCCCATAGAGCTTCCCTTCTGATATTTGGTTGCTTAAATTGTTTCTGCTCCATCATGAAATAAACAAAAGATATGTGTGATTGTGATTATCATCCATGCTGCCAAATCTGCATTGACCTGGAGTTCCAATAGGTCAACTTGTACGCATAGATCATACAGTGTCGTATTGTAGAGGAAGAGGAGAGCTAAAACGTTAGAAGCAAAATCAGCCATGGATTTACGAGTATTCTGCCTATTTCTAGGGAAGTCTTACAGTAACTCTAACTCAAAAGAGCAAAACAAGGCAGGGTTCTGCAACTGTGAGGGTGATCACATTCGTTCAAATGAGAGTGGTTGTGAGAGTAGGATGACTAAGAAAGACTTTGTAACAGTCCGAGACCACCGCTAGCCAGCTATTGTCTTCTTTAGGACCTCCCTTTTAAACTTTCTCTCAAGGTTTTTAAAACGCATAGGGTAGGATGAGATTTTCACACCTCTATAAAGAATATTGTCTTCTTTGGGTTTCTCCTCAAAGTTTTTAAAACGCGTATGTATTGATATGTTTTCACACATTTATAAAAAAATATTGTCTTTCTTTAGCTCTCCCTCCTGTACTTCCCCTTAAAGTTTTTAAAATGCGTCACATGTCTTCTTCGGGCTTTTCCTCAAGGTTTTAAAAACGCGTCTGCTAGCGAGATGTTTTCACACTTTTATAAAAAAAATTATAAAAAATGATTCGTTCTCCTCTCAAACTGATGTGAGGTCTCACGGGCTTACTCGAAATGAAAGTTATTATCTATACTAACAAGATGCATCTTCTTTTTCAGTGGCTTAATTATAGGAACTCTATGGTAAAGTATGTTTTGCTTGAACCAATTCTATGTTGGGTGACTTCTTAAAAATATTTCTAAGATGCATGTGAGTAAGGACAAAACATGCTAGAAAGACTTAGTGTTGGTTTATGAGAACAATATTCACTCTAAAAGGCTAGGAATATATAACATGACAATGTCGAAACTATCATGTGTCGATCCATATTCAGAATCCTAATCCGAACTCTAGGATATAGTAATGAAGTTAAAATATGCTACAACAGAGATCATAACCAATATATGGTGGGATAACAACATCAACTTATATACCACAGATGCATCAACTTATATACCACAGATGAAGTAGTCCGGCCATGGTTGTTCACACCTCAGAGAATAAGGTTCAATATATGGTGGGATAACAACATCAACTTATATACCACAGATGAAGTAGTCCGGCCCAACTAACCTAAAAGTTCTATTACGTTAAGTCTATCTCAATATTTAATTTTACTTTATCTAGGTTATTTCGATTAAACACATACAAAGATAAGACACAACTTCAAGATACCATTAGCAATTAACGATTAGGATGCAACCTCACAATAAGATTAATAATCAACAATTAGGATGCTATATGGTTAACCATTAACGTAAACATTGAATCTTAGTTCGATTTTCTTAAGAATCAAAGTACACTAAGTTAATAAGCACATAAAGTATCTTTATAGTAATCGTAGTTAGCGAATCTCTTTATTGTTTTCCAACAGTATGAAACTATATTATGAATCTACAAGATCTTACTCGCTATGACTAACTCTAGAGAAATAAATCCTTAAATATATTTTTATTTAAGGTATTTAATATTTTAATTTGTGCTTATCAAATAAAAAAAAGTGTTTTTATTAAATATTAATTCAAGTTCTTCCAATTAAATATATTTTTATTTATCAATTATAAAATCTAATTTAATGATATAAAATTAATTAATTAATTTTTATTTGTTAAATATATTCTTATGCATGGTATTATAATCCTTACCAGTAAGTCAATTTTTCACAAATAATTTGTAATTACAACTGGGTTAAAAGTCTATTTACCCTTGTAATTATATAATTCATCATAAGTTCTATTAATTTTCAGACCAAAAATTTGTTTATAATCCAACCCATTTGATTACTAGACTCTTACTATGCTACTACTTTGGGTGATCAAGCTGGATTAACAATACCAAACACAACAATGCTAAGGTATTGAACAAAGTTGTTTATATATTAGATATTTTCTCAATTCTTCCGGGTACCCACATTTTTCTTTGTCTTCAATCCTATACCCCTATAATAATGGTAATTTCTCTCGTCCATTAATGGGAAGGAGACTAGTCCCCGAAAATGTCCATTCCTCGATTGGAATTGAGAAATTTTTTGTCCCTGTTGTTTGGTTATTAGATATTTACCTTGATTTTAGTTCCGTTTCTTACTCGAAAAATGAAGATAAGCTTGTTAGAAATCGCTGATTTGATTGGTCTAACCAAGAGAGGCACGAGAGTCTTTGGGTATTGTTTGGGTCGAGACTACCTTCTTTCTTTTTGAGGTGGACTTCCTATTCCCTATTGGTAAGAATTAAAGAATACAAACTTAATTAAGTAAAACTTTGTAACTCCCAAGTAAACAGAACTAATATGAGAAGCTAGCAAGGAAAGTATCACCTTTTGGCTACAAAGGGTGGGAGCTTAAAAGTTTTATAAAATCATGATTAAATCTTTCATAGTATTATGATTCAAAAAGGGAAAGATCAAATTTCCCCTACCATTTAAGCCATTGATTAGAAACAAGATGGAAAAAGAATTATTGAGAGAGGGAAGAAGATGAGAAAATTGAAGAATTTTTTGCCTACTTTTTGTTTGTTTTTGCGAAATTGGATAGAAAGATGAACACGGGAATTTGAATTGAATTTGAATTAAATTTGAATTAAATGCCTAAAAAAGTAGAATGTGAGACCTAAGGGTGAAGATTTTGGTGTCTGTCCTACCATTTTCCTCTGTTCATCAAATCCCATGGCTACCGAAGTCCACTCTCTCTAAAGCATAATCGACCCATTCGAAGAAACAAATCAACCGTTTCACAAAACCCATCAAAGCAAAGAACCTTTACGTTTCGAGAGAGAGAGAGAGAGAGAGAGAGAGAGAGGGGTGGGCTAAGGATTTAATTATTATCCCTTTTGAAACCGGTGCGAGAGTGACCCAATTCCTTTCGCTCACGAATCTGCTTCTCTTTGTCTTCACTCAATCGCTCGAAGCACAGTGACCCATCTCCCATTTCTGCTGCCTCTTCTTCTTCCCTTTCCTATTTTCTGGTACTGTTTTGTTCTTGGGGTTTCGTTTTCTTCTTCAATTTGTGTGGTTCTGTTCTTCGATCTGATTGCTTGTCTCCCTTTGTAGTTGGAGTTGGGTTTCAGGACTCCGCGAAAATGGGGTTGCTGTCTGGGATCTTTATGGGGGTTATCTTTGGGGTTTCATTGATGGCTGGGTGGCAGCATATGATGAGGCGCAGAAGCACCAAAAGAATTGCCAAGGTAACTCGTTTCTTCTATGTATTTTAGGATGTTTTTGGTGTCTCTTCAGCTTATCATGCTCAAATTTGTGTCAATTTTGGTTTATTATATGAATTTGTAGCTTCTTTGACGAGTTTCTTGTGATATATACTGATATTGGACCTGGAACTGTTGCCTTTTATAGACTCGACTTGATTGAATCATGGCTTCATGTCCAAATTTTGCAGTGAAAATGATTATTTGGGGCTTTTGGGAGCTTATATTTTCAATAGGTTTTTTTTTTAGAAAACTATATGAATTATCTGGTCAGTGAAAGATAATGCATTTTGATTGACAAAGAAATGTTTTGTATGAGTTAATAGTATATAAAATTTGGCCATCACTTCGTTTTCTGAGAATATGTGTTAATTTCATTGCACAGGCTGCTGATATGAAAATTCTCGGTTCTCTTAGTCGAGATGATTTAAAGAAATTATGTGGAGATAATTTTCCCGAATGGATCTCCTTCCCAGTTTATGAGCAGGTTCCTTTTCCTTTTATGTTTCTCCTTTCATTCTTTGTTGATCATTATTGTTGTATTGTTCGTCCACGCCAAGAACGATAAGTTACTTTTTGTTTGTTTTAACACTAATGGTAACTCTGGGAATATCAGAAATGTTGCTACTCGATGAAACTTGTTTTTTGTTAATGACTCCATGTTTCCTGAAGAAGATATTTTGATAATTGTGCAGGGTCAGCTTTGTGTAGATCGTTTAGTTGAAAAAGAACACGTGTTTTTTGTTGTTGTTTATTTGTCTTTGAGCAATATACTTAGAACTCATAGTGACTTATCGATACAAAATTTTGTACTTCGGTTATGTTTTTGTTTATCATTTTAGGTGAAATGGCTTAACAAGCTACTGAGCAAGATGTGGCCGTTTGTTGCAGATGTAAGTTTCTTTGCCATGTATAACTTTCTTTACACATTCTCCTTGTAAAATCTCTTCTTAAATCATGGTATTAGCAACTTGTGTGGCTTGTATTATACCGTATCTTGCAACATTATTACTATCTGTAAACTGAATAATTTTAGTTGTTTTAGTACTCGAGAATTTGCTAGTACGTTTAAATACTTTTTAACTGTTCGATCATAATGCATTTTGATGACTCCTTGTGCTCTTTGAGTTTCCTGAATTCGTCCGCCGACTTGCAGGCAGCAGAGTTGGTTATAAGGGAATCTGTTGAACCTCTGTTGGAAGAGTACCGACCTCCAGGAATTACGTCGTTAAAGTTCAGCAAATTATCTCTTGGCTCAGTGGCGCCTAAAATTGAAGGTATGGTTCAAATTCTGTCTGAGATATCGTTTTCCTTGAAAGAATGAGTCTTTTATGTCGACATGATTACTTTATTCGACATGTCTAAAAAAAAAAATATGAACATAGTTCAACTAACTATCGTTAATATGATTTGTGTTATGTGAGTCAGCAAGCGTGATGCTTCCATTTGGGAACTGCTTTGAATAATGGAAGTTTGTTTTTTCATAAAAAAAGAAGTTAATTGAATTTACATACATTTATGTTGCTATGACTACAGCTCCTATTCTTCCAACTACCCTTGTTGGCTCTCTCTCTCTCTCTCACACACACATTGTGAGATCTCACGTCGGTTGAAGAGGGGACGAAGCATTCCTTATAAGGGTGTGGAAACCTTTTACTAGCAGACGCGTTTTAAAACCATGAGGCTGATGACGATACATAATGGGCTAAAACTGACAATATCTACTAGTGGTGAGCTTGGGCGGTTACAAATGGTTTTAGAGTCAGACACCGAGCAGTGTGCCAGCGAGCGCTGGCCCTCAAGGAGGGTGGGTTGAGAGATCCTACATCGGTTGGAGAGGGGAATGAAACATTTCTTATAAGGGTGTGGAAACCTCTCCCTATCAAACGCGTTTAAAACCGTGAGGTTAATGGCGATATGTAACGGGCTAAAGCCAACAATATCTACTAGCGGTGGGTTTGGGAGGTTACACACACAGGCTGCCTATCTCCGTTTGTGAATTCTATGAAACAATATTCTCATATTGGGTATTAGAATTTTCTTATACTTGCAGGTATACGTGTTCAGAGTCTAAAACAAGGACAAATCACAATGGATATCGACCTTCGATGGGGCGGAGATCCAAGCATCATTTTAGCTGTTGAAGCTGCACTTGTTGCTTCAATACCCATTCAGGTAAGTGCCTAATACATGTTAAATTTTACCATGCTTCCCATATGTTGGATCTAGTTGCCATTTATCTGACAAGTATCATATCTGTTTTCTGCTACAGCTGAAGGATCTTCAAGTTTTTACTGTCGTTCGGGTTATTTTTCAACTTGCTGAAGAAATACCCTGTATTTCTGCTGTTGTTGTGGCCCTACTTGCTGAGGTACCTTTTATTGTAGCATTTATATGGCTACAAACGTTGGTCCAGTTGTTGGATATTAATTAACATAGTAAATGAGAGGGTATGGCTTAAGTGATTGAACATTAAAGAATGGTATTTTTTTTATTTCTATGTATTCGATCAGCCGGAGCCAAAAATTTTATATACTCTGAAGGCTGTTGGTGGAAGCCTAACTGCTGTTCCTGGACTTTCAGATATGATTGATGTAAGTTTCTTACCATAACAGTTCTTAAAGTTTTAAAGTTTTTACTTTTTAGCTTGAGTTCAGTGTTCTACATTGATTATCTGCAGGATACTGTGAAGACAATTGTTAATGATATGCTCAAATGGCCCCATAGGATTGTTGTTCCAATCGGTGGCATACCTTTCGATTTAAGGTTACATAATTTTACCCATTTTGCTTCGTGGGTCGAGTAAACATTTGGATGATTTGATCGGTTTCTGCTGGCGTTCCTGAGCATTTGTTTTCTGTTTTACTGAATTTGCAGTGAGTTAGAGCTTAAACCACAAGGAAAGCTTACTTTGACTGTGGTGAAAGCTAACAGCTTGAAGAACATGGAAATGATAGGGAAATCAGATCCTTATGCTGTTGTGCATATTCGGCCGCTGTTTAAATTCAAAACAAAAACTATCGAAAACAACCTCAACCCGGATTGGGACGAGAAATTTGAGCTGATTGTAGAGGACAGGGAGACACAAGCAGTCATCATTGAGGTTCTGGAGCTTTCCATCTCTCCTGTAGACGTCGATTCGAACTGGTTGTGGTAATTTATGATGTTTGTTTAATCTTTGAATAGGTTTTTGATAAGGACATTGGTCAAGATAAGCAACTGGGGATAGCAAAATTACCTCTGATTGATCTTCAAGCAGAGGCCAGTAAGGAGGTTGTGTTGCCATTGCTTGCATCGCTTAACACGTTGAAAGTGAAAGACAAGAAAGATCGAGGAACTGTTACGATCAAGGTAGAGTTCGGTACTTAGATGGAAATATGTTCGGTTAGCTATTTCTTCTTCTTGTAGTTTGTTTTGTTCTTATGAGGTCTATCATTCAGAACTACTGAAATAGCTCTTAATCTTTTCAGAACCACTGAAATAGTTCTTGAAATTTTTAGATTTGTGAGTTTGTTCATGTGAGATCCCACATTGGTTGGAGAGGGGAACGAAACATTCTTTATAAGGGTGTAGAAACCTCTCCCTAGCATACGCGTTTTAAAGACCTTGAGGGGAAGCCCGGAAGGGAAAGCCTAAAGAGGACAATATCTACTACCAATTAAGCTGCCAAGCTACATATTTTAATTCGGGTTGTGTGCACAGGTTCATTACCATGAGTTTAACAAGGAGGAGCAGTTGATAGCTCTGGAAGAAGAGAAGAGGATCCTTGAAGAGAGAAAGAGGCTGAAGGAGGAGGGAGTTTTAGGTAGCACAATGGAAGCACTGGACGGAGCAGCATCTTTGGTTGGGTCTGGTGTGGGTATGGTGGGCACTGGCGTTGGCATGGTTGGAACCGGCCTTGGTGCTGTTGGCAGTGGCCTGTCAAAGGCTGGAAGGTTCATGGGGCGGACCCTCACCGGCCAATCTAGTCACGCCAGAAAGAGCAGTTCTTCTTCAACCCCAGTAAACAGTGTCCAGGAAAACGATGGAGCGAAGCCATTGTAGTTACATTCGTCGGTGTGCAGCGTGACAGGTAGGAATTCTGTAATATCAACTGGGTTTGTATCGTTTAAGATTCTTGTGTGTATCGTTCTTCGACCCATAGTGTTCACGTTTTTTTTATGTATTTGAACTGGAAATGAACTGGAAATGAACTGGAAATGTTTGCATAAACACTGTAAAGTTCTTCCCTAGAATGTGAATTTGTTGAGATACTGGTGAAGACATTGATGTGCAAAATAGATTTGATAGGCTCTTTGAAGGACAACACCTTAAAGAAGAGGTGACGGGTCCGCCATTCTATAGCGTTCTTTCTCCCTCGACCTAAGGCAATAGGTTCAATCGACTCTTCGTAGAGCCTAGAGATGTTTGTTTTCCCGTCCTAAATTGGGTGGAGAATCCTCTTTTAAACAATGAAAGGAGAACGGAGCAATGAGAGATTTTTTCGTTAACCCTCAACCCCACCACAACCCCCTGTCCCGCTCACTTTATGTATATATAGTGTGAAAGATTATGGTGTAATATTGAAATTTCGTTGAAAATTATATTATATGTTTTGCATACACAATATTATTGGATTTATTAGAATGTTTTACCTTATTTTAATAGAAATTATATTGAAAAATGAAAATTATAAATTTCTTTGGAAATGGAGATTGAAAAAGGAGGGTGGGACGTAGACGTGGTGGTACTGTTCCCTAGCCCATGTGTTGGAGGTTGGATTATGCACCTGCTATCTAGAACGTATGTGGTAAATGGTTTAGCATAGTTCCCAATAGATGTGCCCGAGCAAGCCAAAATGTCCGACGTGTCCCGAGACATGGAACAACATCACGATGCATGAGACATCTCTAATAGAGCCTCATCATAGACTCAACTCATTGGAACGATGTATCAATCAGTGAGTTTAACGAAGTGTCTAACCCATTAAAAAAACACTCATAATCTAGGACAAAACTTTTCGTTAGCCGCCTGATAATCACTTGTCGTACCCGCACAAAGTTCGACACTAAACCACACATTATTAAACCTAAACAACAAATAAGTAATTGACAAGTAAAATCAAGCTTTTCCCTTACCTTCGTCTATAAATAAATGCCTTATATGGTAACAATATCAAAATCATTGATTTATTTTGTTAGTTAGCTTAGAGTTAGAGTTGAAAGTGAAAGCTTATACCACATTTAATCATATTTTTGTTTGTTTCCTTATACTCGTCCTTCTCACTCAAACACCTAAAAAAATCTCCTTTGTTAACCGGAAAACCACGTCTCTTCTTTCTTTAGGTAAATTTTATATCGTTATAGTTCGATATACTGAAAATTGGACGTTGGGCATCTAAAATTTAGTTTATATTTGCTTATTAGACATCGAGTGATGTGGATCTATGTCTAAGATTCGAAATCTGGATTCAGTACCTAATGACCCCGACATTCCCTTGTATCCCACTCTGTTGTCACTCATGTTTTCTAGAAAAATCCGTAGGAGGTCACACCTAACATAAAAGTGCTCCGAGTAGAATACACTTAACTTTAGAGTTCATATGATTGAGCCACCGAAAAGAAAAGTGCACTTTGTTGGTATAGGTAATTTCGGTTCTTTTAAGTCTTTCTTTGTCATCCTATTCTTGGGAACGCTCTCATTCAAATGTGGTCCCGAGTCATTCATATACTCCTCTTTCACTGAGGTGTCACCGACGGTGACTAGAATGCTTATTTGGATGAAGTCCAAAAGAACAATATTTAGACATGTCAACTTTTCGTCCAACATTATAATATTTTTTATTTTAAAGATAATTTTGAAACAATTAATAAAGGTTTTTTAAAAAAATTAAAAAGAAATATTTATAATATATAATGTAGTAGATAACTCTCGTAAATATAATTTGTACAATCTATACATTAAAAAGGGCATAATTGTCAAATGAGTTTTGAATAATTAATGTCTAAAATAATTTAAGAAATTCAAATAGAATGTCTGTATTGCCATGTTGACTCTATTTAAATTTTTTTTTTTCATTTTTTTGTATTATTATTAATATTTTATTTAAAAATGGAAACTATATGATATAATTGTTTTTCATATGAAATAACATCATCCAATTAAATGATTAAAGAATGTATTTGTCAACTTTGATGTGAATATTAAATGAGTTATTGACTAAAATTTAGTTTATATTTTTTATGATTATTGTTGTTACTGTAATATATGATTGTCCCTTTCCCTTGCTTTTTAAATTTAATGATTAATTTTTATTTGCATTATTTCTTAGGCTAAATTTAATGTCTTGATCCGATGCCGACCCGCCACCTATTTCATGATCCGCACATCGACTTGAGTCAACTCTAGCACCTCGGCTCACTCCCAGTTGGCTTCATGCCATCAACTCAACTCACTTTCTCAACTTAGGTGACTCGTTTTGAATTAATTGATGTCGTTACATGAATCGAATCATATTACTTTAACTAAATAGTGTGAGTTCACATAGGTTGATTTAGATTACAAAGGACAGTTTCATGCTAGCGCCAAGTATAAGTTAGTAATGTTGGTATAGACAAACCGAGTAAGTGATTTTACTTTTTGCTTGCTGTATGAACAACACATGTTCTGTGACCCCCTACATGTGTAATGTTTTATGATTGTTTGATGTGTGTATTACGTTTAAGTTATGATATGTGTTTTGCCGTTATTACAAGTTATGTTATGTTAAGTTATATTATGATATGATTACACTACGTTGTGAAACTATCATAAGTGTACGTCATGATTCAAAGTTACAGAGATCTCATGCATTTTTGTATATCATGTACATTAGGATACTTCTCACATTATAATTAGTACAAACGCGCACATTGCGATATCTATATACGCATAATTTTATGTGGGGCTCTTTTCTCTTTACGGTTCCGACAGCATGAGCGTGTGCTAGTGGAAAGACATGTCTAGTGAGTACATATACACTCACCTAGTGTGTCCATGTGTGCATGCGTGGGTCATGTATAGAGAAGTATTGAACATATAATTTTTACAGGACTCGAACCATTAGCAACCAAGGTCATGATGTTTTTATGAAAAAATAATTCCGGGTATCAAAACCGACCTGAATTTCCACGTTTACCACTGTCCTCTGCCTTTTGCACACTCTTTTCTAGAGAATAAAATTTGATGTCTCTCTCTATCTCTGAATAATTTTTTTTTTTCAAAAATAAATGATGGATTTGCTTTTTTTTTTTTTATAATCTGCTTCATCAAATATTTAGTTTTTAAATTTTATATATGTTTTTTTCAAAAATAAAAAATTAAAGAAAATACATTTAATTAAAAATGAATAATAAAGGGAAAAAAAATATTTGTACGCTTAGATTGCAAGATAAGGGTATGTTTCTCCCAGAGAATATCTCGATAATAACCATCGGGAAATTAAAATTTTTAAAATTTCTACAAAATGTAAATAAATAAATAAATAAACTATTAATTTCCTACGCGTGGTGCAGATGGCGCGTGAGGAAAGAAGGCAAATTCAGTCACGTAGATCCCACCACCGTGTATTCATTGTGTCCTTTATTTTGGAAATCACAAGTCAATCCCACGCTCATAAATAGACGCTTGTACTGCACCTCCTCCCTTAACTGCTTCCTTCCTTCGTATTCTCTTCACATGCGGGTTACGGAACAGCAAAAACCAACCAATTAAGAGGCGGACACGTTTTCCGTAAAATCGGGCTCTTTGACTGTCACCGTCTCAGAAAACCACGTTCCCGTGAGCGAGTACCCAACTCTGTCTTAAATCAAATTAGTAATTTAATGTACCATTACAAAAAAAATTAATCTTATTTTAGTTATTAATTCTTTTTAAATGGTTCCCTTTTCTTTGACTTTCCCTTTTATTTTTAAAAAATATTTATTTTAATCATTATGTTATTTTTATTCTAACGCACTCACGTTCCAAGAGACATTAGTTAAAAACGTCTATTTGATTTATGAGAACTCACTCGAAACAGAGTAAAAAATGGCTAAAAATTTTAACTAAATGAGTCTAGGACAAGGATCTAATCTCGACTACCCTCACTTTTATAAATAAATAAAAAAAAATTAAATACTTTAATACTTTAATTATATTTAACTTGACATATTACCAAAATTTTAAATTTTAATTAAAAAAAAAGTAATTATTTTATTTAAATTTAAATGTTTAAATAAAAATTCACAGTTTCAACAGAGAGAGAGAGAGAGAAGACCTCTTCCCCTTCTTCTTCTCTTCTCCTTCTCCTTCAGCTCAAATTCTCTGTCAGACTTCAGTCTTTACTCTCTCATTCTCCATAACAATGGACCCTTCACTCTTCTAAACTACCCTCTCTTCTCTCCACTATTTACCAATTATGCCATCTCCCTCCGCCGCCCCTCCGCCGCTCACTGCCGACCACCACCACCTCCGCCCGAGCCATCTTTTCATCATCTTAGCTACATCCTTAACCGCATCGCTCATCATTCTACTCTTAACCATTTTCCTCATCTACCGGAAACTCTCCCGCAACCGAACCGCTCCTTCAGAAACCCACCAAGAAAATCCCCCAAAACTCCCCCGCCGATTCTCCTACTCCCTCCTCCGCCGCGCTACGGCGTCGTTTTCCCCCTCCAACCGCCTCGGCCATGGCGGCTTCGGCTCTGTCTACAAGGCTGTCCTCGACTCATGTCTCTCTGTCGCCGTCAAAATCATGGACTCCCCCGGTTCCCTTCAGGGCGAGCGCGAGTTTCACAATGAACTCTCCATCGCCTCTCGTCTTAATAACCCTAACATTGTCTGCCTTCTCGGTCACTCTTCCGACCGGCGCCGCCGTCGACTGATTTTGGTTTATGAGCTTATGCCTAATTGTAGCCTACAAGATGCCCTGTTCGACAGAAAGTGCCCTGAACTCATGCCATGGCGTAAGAGGTTTGAAATTTCTCTTCGTATTGCTTCTGCTTTACAGTATCTTCATCACTTTTGTACTCCCCCTGTGATTCATGGCGATATTAAACCTAGTAATATTCTGCTGGACGCCGATTTCGAGGCTAAAATTGGGGATTTCGGCCTTGCGAGGCTGAAATCGGAGGAGGAAGATGGCGGTGGTGATGAAGGCGGTAGAGTTAGAGATGTTGGAGATAATGGATCGATTTTGGAGGAAACTGAGAGTGTCATAGATCGTTTGCCTGATAGTTGTGTGGTGACGATTCTTGATTCACCGG